TCTGATGTGTATATTGTTATTTAATATTGTATGCGCACCTCAAGGAGTGAGTCAAGGCAACGCAAACTCACTGTCTAACTGACTAAAGGCACAAAGGCCTGTCTCAGTTCAGCACATTTAACAAGCTGCTACATGTTTAACATTTTATTCATTGTTAATTGCTAAAGTAAACTGCAGTTCCATAGTATTAAATTTGTTCCTGCAAAGATGAAGAAATCTCTTAGCATTACGACATTTTAATATTAAAATTCCCTGTTCAGAACGAGAATCTTCTTTTCAGAGGGACCAAAAGATTGGTGAAGCGATGCTCCTTCACTCAGCATAAGAAAGGCCTGATGTTATAATCGTTAGATTAACAACATCTCCTGGTTAAACATTGACTTAGCTACTCAATTGTGTATTTTGGGTGGGCCAGTGAAAATGTGAGTGGGCCAATAGTTTTTCATAGAAACAATTACTTCAATAATAAGTAACCTTAGAGAGTAGAAAAATTATTAGACAAACTTCAAAAACAGTTACCTTCATATTCGGCAAATCATCATGTTCAACCAACAGCTCAATAAAGGCTGGACTTGGACAAACCAGTGTGTAGGCAATAACTTGTCTCTTTTATTTAGGCTAGTCAGCAGTGCAAAGACAGTTCAGCAGTAAATAAAGTAAGCTAAATAATAATATCGCAGTTAGATCGGCAGGTAAATGCGTCAGACTGACCGAGAGAGAGGGAGAGAGAAGCGGCCACCGCCAGCACCGGACTAGCCTTCTTGTGGGTTAATGAGTCTGAAGAACTGGGCTGTGTGGACTCGGTAGATGAAGACAGTGGTGTGTCTTCTTCCTCAACTCTCGTTTTTTCCCAAATAGCACATTAAAGAAAGTTTTTTAGCCATTATTATGGCGCCGCCGAGAGTTTTCCTATCAGAACCCCCACAACCATAGCAACCAATAACATTCCGGAGGGAGGCTTTCTACAACTTGCTTCGACAGTTGCATTTTATTCGGCAAAACGAATTAAACACACACAGCAGTCAACAATAAATCAGGTATTATATTAATATATTTTCTTAAAGCCACAATATGTAATTTTTCTGCTTTAAAAATAGCAAAAATAACTGTATCTATGTTATATATTTCTATTAGATGTGTACTTACATTATCCCGACAGTTTCCACCAACTTTCAAATACAGAGAAATTTATAGTTTAATTCGAAGACACGGGACGTCTCTTTATTTCCGTTTCGTCGCCTGTGTATGGCGTCATATAACCTTTGACTCCTCTATTTTCTCTAACTTCCTTGCGGAACCCGGCGAAACCACCAAACACAAAGGGGAACACTGGACTACCGCCAATAAAGCAAAGAAAATGACGAAGAAAAAAAAGTAGTACGTATTTTTATGTGTGTAAATCACGTGCCCGCTCACGAGCGCTCACTCTTAACAGACACACTGTCCCCGGTGCTGCTCGCGCATAAAGCGCTCCCCGTTCACAGTAACAGGGTCGTCTCATTCAAATCAGCCAACTGTTGCTGTTAGCGAGCCGCGCACATTGAATACTCATTATGAGTCAGGCTGCGAATGTACGTGCCCGCTTCAGCGCGCTCATGCTTACTAAATAAACGCCTCACCTCCGGCGCCGCGCACTCGCTACATTCCCTTCAGCCTTTAGCACATAGTGGATGCATAATGCAAACCCAGTCAAACGTTTGACTGCAGTATCTTATGAGCTTTATAATCAAGTGCGCCCTATATATGAAAAATGTTCTAAAATAGGTCATTCATTGAAGGAGCGTAATATTAATATTTATATCCGTCTGTAATATTTATATTCGCTTTGCCTGCACGTTCTGCTGCTACAGCCAGCTCATTAGCTAAAGCTCAAACGTACGGGTGAAAAATATGACCCGAGAAGGGTTTGGGACAGGAGAAGCATGACACAGGTAAACATTGGCGTTGCATTTAAAGCTTCTTGACAAGCTAAATCTACAGAGAGATACCATATATCGGTATATTTTGTGAAACGATGATGTCATGTCATGAGCTGAGCTGGTTGTCATTGACAACGACAACAACTTCCGTGAGCCCACGCTCTTTCCCGACATCATCAAAGTACGTCTTTTGTTATTATTTTAAACGAGTGACCCCTGGTGGCCAAAAATCACATACTGTGCGTTTAAATACATTTGAATAACAAAAATAAACGAAAAAAAATATTTTTTATCAAACTTACCTGGGCGGGCCAGTAAGTAAGAAAGTCAAGAGACTGAAATGTTGATTGTGTGTGAAAGTGTGTATTTCAGTGTGACTCTCAGTCCTGCAGTTTCATGTTATTGAGGATCAGCTCGTGTGTTCAATCATTTCCACTCAATAATCTGAACTCACAGCAGCAGAAAGAGGCTGAACACTTCAAATATACTTTACATTGTGATTCATGTGTGTTGTGGACATTTTTGATTTTCATAGATTTTCAGTGGACATTACAAAGGAATGGTTATATCATTTGCAGTCAGATGCGAGAAGGAAGAAATTCTCTGAAATGTGTGTTTATACACCTGAAGTGCAGGAGTGAGACACTCTAGAAGCAGATGGGCAAGGACCTCTGAGGGGGTTAAAGGGTCAGTTAGCGATAAATCAAAGCTAGCAGTAAAAGGCCTTTTGTCTGTAGAAAACTACTGCAAAGCTCTGCAGGGAAAAGGACCTTGAAGAGCAGTATAGAGATTCCCCATTTCTTCCTGTCTGTGTCTCACTCACTCCACAGGGAAACTGCTGTGTGGTGACTGGGCCTATTCTTGACAGCATAAATACTTCTCTTTTAATAATTTGTTTCTGAGTTGTCTCTTACACAGTGATGATGAGGTCATCTGGAGGAGGGGGAAAGTGGTGCAACAGTGGCGACACGCAGAGGGTGTCTGGATTCCGAAGGAGGAGAACTCAAGTACCATCGAGCAGTTCAGAGTCATCTCACTCCTCAGTGTTGAGGGCAAAATTTTCTTTAGCATTCTTGCCCGACGCCTGACGGAGTTCCTTCTGAGGAACAAGTACATCGATACCTCGGTGCAGAAGGAAGTCCCAAAGATGCCAGTATGTATCGAGCATACAGGAGTTGTCACTCAGCTCTTACGCGAGGCACGTGAAGGCAAAGGGGATCTGGCAATCCTCTGGCTCGACCTCGCCAATGGGCCAATCCCTCATAGACTGGTAGAAGATTGACCGATACCACGTCCCAGACAAGACTAAGAACCTCATACTGGATTATTATAATTCCTTCAGTCTGAGAGTTACCTCTGGAGCGGAAACATCTGCATTTCATCGGCTCGAGAAGGGCATTACCACGGGATGTACTATTTCCGTGATATTGTTTGCTTTGGTGATAAATATGCTAGTGAAGTCTGCAGAGGTAGAGTGCAGAGGCCCACTCACCAAGTCAGGCATATGGCAGCCCCCCCATCAGAGCATTTATGGATGATCTGACGGTGACCACAGCATCGGTTCCGGGGTGCAGATGGATTCTCCAAGGGCTCAAGCATCTCATCAAATGGGCTAGGATGGACTTTAAGCCAGCTAAGTCCAGGTCCCTGGTGGTAAAGAAAGGGAAGGTTACAGACCAGTTCCGCTTCTCTCTTGGAGACACCCAGATACCATCTGTCGAAGAAAAGCCAGTCAAGAGTCTGGGTAAGATCTACAACTGCACCCTGAAGGACACCGCAGCTCTCCAGGCAACAACTAACCAGCCCCGTCTGCTCTGGCCACTGCTGGTCTACGATGTGCCAATTACCACCGTTGAATGCTTTGAGAGGAAAGTCAGCTGTTTCCTTCGGAAGTGGCTAGGCCTACCACGAAACCTCAGTGACCTCGCCTTGTACGGGAGGACGAACAAGCTAAAATTGCCCTTCAGCAGTCTGAAGGAAGAATTTATGGTAACCTGATCAAGAGAGGTGCTACTGTATAGAGACTCCAGTGACATCAAGGTCTCTTCGGCAGGCATAGAAGTGGAAGGCCCAAGAGGCAGTAGATCAGGCTGAGTCACGGCTGCGACATAGTGAGCCGGTGGGGGCAGTACCATCTGGACGGGCAGGACTCGGGAACAATCCAAGACCTCGCTTTAACAAGGCCCAGGGAAAGGAAAGGAGACAGCTGATTCAAGAGGAGGTCCGAGCTGGGGTGGAAGAAACCCGCTGCGGCAGGTCAGTCGGGATGAGGCAGCAGGGAGCATGGACTCGATGGGAGCAGGCAGTAGACCGAAAAATATCGCGGACAGAATTGTGGAAGTCTGAGCCACACCGGATTAAATTCCTGGTTCAGTCTGTCTATGATGTCCTCCCCAGTCCATCCAATCTCTTCCCCTTGGGCGGAAGCCACATCAGCGCCTGAAGCAACCAGGGGGGGTTGCTGGCAACAGCACAGGACTGGCAGCTGAAGGTCGACCTTGGGAAACAGCTCAAATTCCCAGAAAACATCGCAGTGACCACTCTCAGGCCAGACATTGTCCTGGTGTCAGAAATAACAAGGCAAGTGGTCCTGCTGGAGTTGACTGTTCCCTGGGAGGACCGGATGGAGGAGGCTTTTGAGAGGAAGAGGGCCAAGTACGAGGAGCTGGCAGGCGAATGCCGAAGCAGGGGGTGGAGGACCCGATATAATCCCATCGAGGTCGGGTGCAGAGGATTCGTCGGCCAGTCACTAATTAGGGCCCTCAAGATGTTTGGAGTGGAGGGACTGCACATCAGTAAAGCCGTCAAGAACATCACAGACGCCGCCGAAAAGGCGCCAAGATGGCTGTGGATCAAGCGGGGCAATCCATGGATCATACAAGCTACTCAGACACAAGCCAGGGTCTGATCAAACCTAGCTGGGTCGCCTGGGCGAGGGTGTATGATGTTGTGAGACCCGAAAAACCCAATGAACCCAGGATACATCACTGATGATGTGTCTGAGTTGCACCAGAGGTGTATTTCAAGAATGTTTCACAGAATTTTTACCACAACATGTGTGAGAGTCAAATATGATCTTACCTCAATTTCTCCAGTTTACAGTGAGGATTCTGTAGTACATCACACAGCAGATTCACTGATTCTCCGATTTTATTCCCAGTCAGATCCAGTTCTCTCAGGTGTTCAGGGTTTGATATCAGAGCTGAAGTCAGAGCAGCAAAACCTTCATCTGTGAGATCACAATTGAACAACCTGTAGAGATGAAAATCAAATAGCATAATTTAAACATTATCAGATTTCCAACAAATTCCAATTCCAATATATTTTAACAATGTAAAATTATTATCCAATGTTCATGGTCAAATGTTTCTATTTACGATGTGTTTTTGCAGCGGTAAGAAATGTAGCCAATCACAGACATGTTTGCTGATCTCTCTTTATTTCAGTGTCGAGTTCTTCACGCTTGCAAAACCTCTTATTAACAAAAAGACAGATTTTTTTTATAGTTTATAATGTATCTTTGTGAGATTGTGAACTGAGATGAGTGACAGATTTATAATGATTGTAAAGGGAGCACTCTTCCGAGGTTATACATAATACATTGAATAAAAGTTCAGTTTTTCTTGAGCTGAGAGGACCGATGGCCAATTACACACTGCAAAACGGCACGTCAAAATAGATACGCACAACAGATTAATAGATAAATAGAAAAATATTCATTTCGATATATTTTTTAAATTCCATTCCAAACATTTGCTAAAGTAATGACTTGTAAATAATCTTAAATGTCTCATTGTACATTGCTATTCTTGTTCTGTAAGAGTCGTTGCTACACATTAAATCTGCACTTTACTAGAGAACCATCACTAATTTCACACACTCAGTGATTTGACTCTTAATTGTCAATCTCACAGTAAAAATAAAATGTGAAGTTTTAGTAAATTTTAATCTAATCATCAAGTTAATGTTTAATTGTCTAATAGTCAAATATAAATGTATGACTCTGCTGTAAACCAGACATCAAATGTTTTTATGAGACTGTTTTTTACTTGGTCTTAATTTCTTTTATCATTTATTTTAAATATTTTAAATATTTAAATAACTTCTTTATGTCCAAAACCAAGTAAACATGAATTGTTTTTAAATACACTGACTTTGTTTGAATGCCTGAAGGAATTCTACATTGTCACGGTTTAAGAAACACATCAAATCCTGACCACTGAACTCTACACAACATCTGCAGCACTGAAGATTGATGAACTTTTATTTTCTAATGTTTTAACAGTGAACTGATTGTTCTGATTGATACTTACTGAACTGATCTGGATTCTTTAATCACAGGACGCAGCTTCTGAAGAACATTTCGTTGTTCAGTTTTATTGTCTCTTCCAACAAAATCATTAATATCAAACTTGTCCAGCTTCTCCTCTGATGTCATCAACACAAAGACTACAGCTGACCACTGAGATGAAGAGAGTTTGGCTTCCTTTATTCTTCCAGATTTCAGATACTGTTGTATTTCCTCCACTAGTGAACGATCACCCAGTTCATTCAGACAGTGGAACAGATTGATGGATTTCTCTGGAGAGTCGATGGTCTTGATCTTCTTCTTAATGTACTCAACTGTTTCCTCATTGCTGCCATATCTGCTTCTTGTATGTTTCATTAGTGTTTGTAGGAGAATCTGGTGAGACTTTACTGACAGACCCAGAAGAAACCGCAGGAAAAGATCCAGATGTCCATTTTTACTCCGTAGAGCCTCTTCCACAGCTCTCTGATGCAGCGCAGATAATGAAACATGTTCTGATGAATTTTGTCGAAACCAATCCTTAACTTTAGACCACAAACTCTGTTTGGTGATTGGGTCAAACACATTTCTGTCGTTGATTGTACAGGAGAGATGCACATATAGAGCCGCTAGATGTTCCTGAACACTCAGATGAACAAAGCAGAAGACTTTCCCCTGATACCAGCCAAACTCCTCTCTGAAGATCTGAGTGCACAATCCTGAGTACACTGATGCTTCTGTCACATCAATGCCACACTCTCTCACGTCTTCCTCATAGAAGATCACATTGCCTTTCACAAGCTGCTGAAAAGCCAGTTTCCCCAGTTTGAGGATCAGGTCTTCATCCGTCACCTTCTTCTCATAGTCCTTCTCATGTTTGATGTTGGTCTGAAGGATCAGGAAGTGTGTGTACATCTGAGTGAGAGTCTTGGGAATCTCTCGTCTCTCTGCTTCGCTCATCATCTTCTCCAGAACAGCGGCTGAGATCCAGCAGAACACTGGGATGTGGCACATGATGTAGAGGCTCCTTGAGGACTTCAGGTGTGTGATGATTGTATTGGCCAGACTCTGATCACTGACTCTCTTCCTGAAGTATTCCTCCTTCTGTGGATCATTGAAGCCTCGTACCTCTGTCACTCGATGGACACACTCAGACGGGACGAGATCGGCTGCTGCTGGTCTGGAGGTGATCCAGATGAGAGACGAGGGAAGCAGATTCCCCACAATGAGGTTCGTCAACAACACGTCCACTGAGGCTGATTCACTCTCATCACACAACCTCACATCGCTCTGAAAATCCAGAGACAGACGACACTCGTCCAGACCATCAAAGATGAACAACACTTTATATTTGTCACTGGATATTTCTTTAGTTTCAGGGAAAAAGACATGAAGAAGCTCTGAAAGACTGAGTGTTTTGTCCTTCATCAGATTGATCTCTCTGAAAGGAAGTGGAAATATGAGCTGGACGTCCTGATTGTCTTTCTCTTCAGCCCAGTCCAGGATGAACTTCTGCACAGAGACTGTTTTTCCAATGCCAGCGACTCCCTTTGTCAGCACAGTTCTGATGGGTTTGTGTTGTCCAGGTAAAGGTCTAAAGATGTCATTGCATTTGATCGGTGTGTCCTCTGTTGCTGCTCTCCTGGATTGTGTCTCAATCTGTCTCACCTCATGTTCATTACTGATGTCTCCACTCTCAGTCTCTGTGATGTAGAGCTCTGTGTAGATCTCATTCAGGAGTGTTGGGTTTCTCTGCATTCCTGTTCCCTCATACAGACACTCAAACGTCTTCATCAGATTTGATCTAAACCTGTTGAGGACTTCATGGCTGTAAAATTGAAACACCACAGTATTAATAAACACAGTATATTTTTTAAATCATACATGTTTATAGATATACCTGAGATCAGTCTGTTCATCTTCACTCTTAAAATGTACTGGCCAACTCATAGACGCGTCACTCCTCATAGACACACAGCTGGACTCTGGTCCTGATCTTTTCTGATGAACTGAACTATAACAGAAATAGATTAAAGTTTATACACTGAATTACTGTATTCAAAAATCACATATTAATTTATCCTTTAAGAATATATTTTCACAATGTTGATTAAAAAAAAACTTAAAATGAGCCAAGTGCTCTCATTTACATCTCTGATGTGAATATCACGACATACATTCAAATATTAGCTATATATAAATAAGAATTTCTCATATCTTTAAGAAAATATCACCAATATTATTCTGATAATAATAATTTTTAAAAAAATGCTATATTAGTCATATTTTCACCTAATATCACGTTGTGATACTTCACTCCTAAAATGTACTGGCCAACTCATAGACTCATCACTCCTCATAGACACACAGCTGGGTTCTGGTCCTGATCTCTTCTGATAAACTGAACTATAACAGAAATAGATTAAAGTTTATACACTGGATTACAGTTTTCAAAGATCACATATTAATTTATCCTTTAAGAATTTATTTTCACAATGTTGATAAAAAAAACTGTAAAATGAGCCAAGTGCTCTCATTTACATCTCTCATGTGAATATCACGACATACATTCAAATATTAGCTATATATAAATAAGAATTTCTCATATCTTTAAGAAAATATCACCAATATTATTCTGATAATAAATAAAAATAATAATGCTAGTCATATTTTCAGCTAATATCATGTTGTGATACACTCTTAAAATGTACTGGCCCATCCATAGACGCTCCTATGTCACTGAAGTCACTCCTCATAGACACACAGCTGAATCTCTTCCGAACTGAACTATAACAAAAAAATAATAATTATAATGGTGGTGATAATATTTTAATATAAGTTCTTAAAAGGTATTTTATTTTAAATGGTATAATGGTTTTCAATAAAATTAAAGTTTTCAACTTAATAAAAAACATTTTCTTGTGTATAAATTAAAGATGATTTAATCTGTACTTTTTTCAAAATACCTGTATCCTGGATAGAAATCTTCATCTCTGGATATTTGAGCCTCATCCATGATGAAGCTGAACAGTTGAAACAGAATCTGATCTTCAACACTGAATGGAAATGACAAACAAACACAATAATTCACAATAATTCAGCAGAACGGATCCTGAGATTCAGAGAAACAGGATCATGAGACGCGAGTTCACTCAAATACACACTGTTAGTCGTATATTAACACAAATGCTAAATAAACCACAGACAACACGACACAATGAAAGCATGATCTGCTCTAAAATGAAAAATATCAAACTCATAAAATAACTAATATGTCCTTTAGGGGAAATAGGCTAATATTGGCCTAAATGCGGAAGTCACCTGTAAACGTCTCGAGACCTGAACACTCACCTTGATCAACGTTCATCACATTCAGATTCACAAAATCTACCGCAGTTTCTATCAAGTAAATTCGTGTCTTAGCTTTTATTAAGGTTTCTATGAAACGCTTTGCATTTGATAATCAGTATAGAATCGATTCCGGCGGTTTAAATGGCGAAACATCAACTCTGATCTTTTACTTTCACTTTTTGTTACGCACAAAACAATAACGTAACAACGTACGCGCGCGCTTACGGTCGCGACCCGAACCGCACCAGCATTAAATCAGTGGTGACAAAAAAATAATTAATGTTCTTTCTTATGTAACACAATCACACCAACATTAGCCATTAATTTTTTGGTTAACTTGGTCGTTAATGTTGAATGGAGGATGTATATATATATATATATATATATATATATATATATATATATATATATATATATATATATATATATACATATATATATACATATATATAAAAAGAAGAAGCTGGAACCCACCTTTGAATGGGCTTTATGCACAGCTGCACTACTTCCTGTACTTCAGCCAGCTCCTTTTCCTGTCTGCCATTATTGGCCAAATTGATTAATGCAGGTGTGCTTGACCTCAGTACTCA